GGGGGGGGGAGGGAGGGTGGCAAAAGAAAGAGGAGAGGTGAAACTAAATGGGAGGGGTTAAAAAACACTTGAAGTCCCGCCAACATATGGATGTGTCGTCTTTTGTCTATATCGACGATGTCTTCTTTCAAGAACCTTTTGTTCCATTTGTTGGTCATGTTTCCATTGTAGCTAAGTAATGAAACCCTGGAAATCTGGATATACGAAGATGGGCTTTTCATGTGTCCAAGGGAACAGGGAAAGGGGGGGGGGGTAAACTGCTACAAAAACAAAACTCGTTTATCTGTTTTCCTCCTTTTTTTTTGGATCTTAATAATGACGTGAAATGCGCATCATCGAGTTCGCTTCGGCTGCTAGCTGTTGCACCGCCTATTGTTTTCTAAACATCTATGGGATTTTGGTGAGGTGCATTATGACATGGCTGTGACTCTGTGACGGTTAAGAAGGAGTTGAGATGGTCCAGTACAAGTGGCGCCGTATCCGTAGACGAGTAGGGCGGAGCAGAATCTGGGCCGCTGGCGTGCTGTGCCCTGTCTTCGCCGGACGCCAACTGTCGTCCGCATGTCTGTGACAAAATTTACGAGTGCCCCCGGGAGGGACAGTGGTAATCCTGCGGGCTTGTCACACGTCAACAGACTGACAGACGCCGTGCGCAGTGGCGGGAGAGGGAGCCACGAGTGTCTGCTCTACTACACTGTCTCTGTTTCGTTCTCTGTCTGTTTTGGCGACCTGTTCTTCATGTATGTAATACTGTGGTGCATGCACGTACAGACAGCTCTTGTGGTATTTTCTCCACACTTCTCTTCTCTTTCGTGTTTATCTTATTTTTTCCTGCTTCTTTCTTGTACTTTCGTTTTCCTTCTTTTGAAAACAAACAAGAGGAAAAGAGCGAGTGTTTGATATGTGCTCTGGTTTGATTTACTCCGTGTTACTGTTGTTGTAATCAGAGGGGAAAATTACTTTAACGGAACATGTATGTTTAGTGATGTAAACCATCATCCACTCTCTGACCTTGCCTGCTAGTCCCCTCTTTGCAAACAATGTCAGGATTTTCATCTATGCCACCCGAGCTTTCCCAGTTGTTGTATTCAACACTCTCTGTCGGACG